TGAGTGTGTGTGTGTGAGTGTGTGTGTGTGTGTGTGTGTACTGATTTTCTGTATGTAATGCTGTTGAAACTGGAGTAGTTCTTTAAGGGTTTTAAATGTGCAAAGTCAATCAATCAAGTCCTATTTCATTCATTTGGTTTGTTTGCCACCAAATGACTTCATCTTCATTAATGAATAATTACTGTACAAATGTGTCTTTTGATATTAATATTACATCCCTTCTCACATGGGGCTTTTTCCACCTAACATTTTCCATGCTTTTCTATTAAAGCGTGACAGATTTCAAGTGTGAGTCCATGAATGTTTTTATAAGGTCGGGCATGAGTCTTTTTATTAGACAGAGCTGTTTTTATATCAGCGGTGCACTAAAGCTCTAGCTGTGTTTGATTTGCGCTCACAGCGTCACGCTCCGCACAGGAGGAATTTTCCAGGTGTTTCTTTAATCACGAGCGGACAGTGATTCAGGAAGTGGATGAACGACAGGAAGCAGATTCTCAGAGAGCAACGGCAGTAAACATATCGGCCTCTAAAGATATATGTGCGTTTCATTCAGTTGGATAATGGTAGCTAATACAAGACTAATTACTGGTTAGGCTTTTTGTTGTTTTGTTCTGTTTGTGTTATTTGTTTTATAGCTTAAATTCGTTTTTATTTTGTATATTTTGTTTGTTTAATGACATTTTTTTTCAGTTAATATTTATTTTACATGTGTATTTTTATGTTTTTAGTTTTAGATAACTATATGTGACCCTGGAGCACATTATATATATATATATATATATATATATATATATAATTAATACCGCGGTGGTAAAAATCTGCCGTCGTCACAGCCCTGATAGTATGTGGAGATGCATTCAAGTAATATTTTCATTGTTCTCCATACATGGTGCATATAGCAATAAACGACTTTGACACTTCATTTGAGTTTATCAAGATGGAAATAAACAGAAATGAGTCAGATATTGTTATTTTGGTGGCGTATGGATTCTGTAAAGACTCCAGCTGATGTTCATTGTCTGCTGTTCATACTTGTCTCGTCCATCAGCCGTCATGATAGAGGTCAGAGGTCACGCTCATTAGAATGGGATTTCTAATTGGCTTAATTACTGTTGCTGCAGTCGCTTCCTCTGCGTAACTCATCCGTCTTCATTCTCTCAGCGCTCTGTCATTTGGTCATTACTCCTTGACAAGGCTGCATCTGTGTGGAACTAACAGAAGCATTAACACTTTTGTTTATTGGTGTAGTGGATCTCATTGGCAGTTTAGTACAATTTATTATCTTTCTACGATTTATTACATTTCATATTTATTTGTTTTATTTTTGCTGTAAAAACAACACTAGCAAATGTGTCATTCCTCATGCACTTCGTACACATAAATGAAATGAATAATGAGAATACGAGTTAAAAAGTCTGAAATTTACAAAATATCTTCATGGAACATGATCTTTACTTAATATCCTAATGATTTTTGGCATAAAAGAAAAACCTATAATTTTGACCCATACAATGTATTGTTGGCTATTGCTACAAATATACCCCAGCGACTTAAGACACTTAAGTCGTATATGTGTATACACTACCGGTCAAAAGTTTGGAGACTTGTAATGTTTTTAAAGTTTTGGAAACTGTGATACTTTTTTCAGGATTCTTTGATGAATCAAATTCTGTAAAGACTCCAGCTGATGTTCATTGTCTGCTGTTCATACTTGTCTCGTCCATCAGCCGTCATGATAGAGGTCAGAGGTCACGCTCATTAGAATGGGATTTCTAATTGGCTTAATTACTGTTGCTGCAGTCGCTTCCTCTGCGTAACTCATCCGTCTTCATTCTCTCAGCGCTCTGTCATTTGGTCATTACTCCTTGACAAGGCTGCATCTGTGTGGAACTAACAGAAGCATTAACACTTTTGTTTATTGGTGTAGTGGATCTCATTGGCAGTTTAGTACAATTTATTATCTTTCTACGATTTATTACATTTCATATTTATTTGTTTTATTTTTGCTGTAAAAACAACACTAGCAAATGTGTCATTCCTCATGCACTTCGTACACATAAATGAAATGAATAATGAGAATACGAGTTAAAAAGTCTTGCGAAGTTGTTGGTAGTGGCTTAGTTGTTGATTTACTGTAATGGTCATAATTTTATAGTATGTGGGAAAATATATAGTCCTAAATAAACCATTTTAGCCTGAGCTGAACACTTTCAGTGCAACACACACACACACTGAATGCAGTGTTTTCATGCCAGATG